CTGATAGTACCATAGCCCCATCTTTGTTCTTTTCTTGATTTCTCTTTTGATATCTCTCATTTTTTTTGTTGTTTTTTTTCTTTTCTAGGCTTGTGGGATACGAATTTGGAGTACAAGTGAAGCAAGAGTTTTGAGCGGCTCTTGTTTCACTGGTTCAAGCAAAGGTGCGCAACGATCTGGGTTCATGTTGTAAGTTTAAGGGTTTTTTTCACAAGAAATTTTTTGAAAGTATTTAAACTGATTTTATAAATAAAGTATACAAAACTGATTCTACAAATAATTAAACTTATTTTACAGATATTTAAGCTGTTATATAAACTGATGCTATTAACAAATTACAAAACCGATTTTGAAAGTACATAAATTGATTCTACTAATAAAATACAAAACAGATTCTACAAATAGTTAAATTAATTCTAATAATAAATGATACAAACTGATTCAATTAATAGAGTATAAAAATGATTCTAAATATATTTTTGAAAGTGGTCATGCATAAATGATCGAATAAGGGTTGAGCTGATGGTAGGGGTATAAATCCGTTAAAATTTCTGCTCACTGGGCTCTGATAATTAATAGGTGCCTCAGCAGCATGGATTGAAATTTTAAAATTTTAGTTTGCTTATTTTTGGGTTGTTGGGTTTGGGCTTTTGACTCTCTATGAAATGATTCAAAACTAATGGAGTTCCATAAAATGTAAGTTATTTTGTTTCCATAAAATTTAGCTTTTAGCCCAGAAACAGCTTTTCTGCTCTAACTGTTATGGCCTAAAATTTTAGCCCGAGATTATTAAAGAACGAACTGAGGCTATTTTTTTTCTTAAATTAATTTTTTTTAATAAATATGTAGACTATCGTAAATTAATTTTATGAACATTTTAATCTAAAAAAATTTATATTCCGATAAATATTGAAAAATCACTAAATTTTCCACAAAGCAAGCCTTCAACTTTTACCAATCTTTCAACCCTGGGCTAACTTTCAATTCACCAACTTTTCAACACCAAACTTTCAATTCACCAACTGTTCAACACCAAACTTTCAACTTTCACCAACCATTCAACTTTCATCAATCATCCTCTATATTCACCAATCTTTCAACTTTCAAAGAGTTTTTGTTTCTTAAAAATCCTCAATATCTCATCAATGGGTGATAGAAAAAGGCGTAACATGACAATGCAGATGGCACAATACCAAGCAAGGATCGAGATTGAGGATGCAGAATTGTTCAATGTCGAAGTTGAACTTATCAACTCGTTTATGCAATCTGAGCACCATGGCGAATCTAGCCATCGTGGTTCTGTCACGGGGCGTTCATATGTGCAACGTGATAAAGAAGAATGTCATGATCGAATAATGAAAGATTATTTCATCAAGCGTCCGAGATTTCCTGCTCATGATTTTCGGATGTAGTTTCGAATGAGGAGAAAGTTTTTTGAAAACATCTTGAATGCATTTGTCAATCATGACCATTACTTTGCAAAGAGGTTAGATGCCGCATGCCGACAAGGTCTATCACCTTATCTATTTTTCTCATGCTAGCTAATGGGTGCTCTGCAGACTCAACTGACAAGTTTTGCCGACTTACAAAAAGTACTGCTATTGAGAACCTAAAGCGCTTATGTAAGGCAATTGAAGGCATATATGGAGCCACATACCTTCGCAACCCAAATCATTAAGACTTGAAAAGGCTTCTACGCAAGGCAAACAAAAGAGGCTTCCCTGGCATGATAACAAGTCTCGATTGTATGCAGTAGGAGTGGAAGAATTGTCCTACTGCTTAGGCTAGCCAATTCAAGGGCCGTCATGACAAGCCAACCATCGTGCTCGAGGTTGTGGCGTCTTACGACACATGGATTTGGCATGCTTTCTTCGGCGTTCCTGGATCAAACCACGATATCAACGTTCTTTGGTCTTCTCTTTTGTTCAATTATGTTGTCAATGGATAGGCACCAGAATTTCGGTACAAGGTAAATGGTAATAGGTATGAGCTAGGTTACTACCTAACTAATGATATTTATCCTAGTTGATCTACCTTTGTCAAAAGTTTTTCTCATCCCGATAGTGCAAAGAAGAAATTATTTTCGTAGAGGCAAGAGTTTTACAGGAAGGATGTGGAGAGAGCGTTCGGGATCCTACAAGCTCGATGGGCCATTGTTAGAGGGCTTGCACGATTTTGGAAGTCCAAAGACCTCAATTCAATCATGATGATGTGCATAATTTTGCACAACATAATTGTGGAATATGAGTACATCGAAATTGAAGAAGATTCAGATGAAGATGTAGATGATAACCAACCAACACATGTGAGAGCTATTGCAAGAGATGTTGAATATCTCGCTCCAACCACATATGAGACCTAACAGGATAGGGTCACCTTGAGTGAGTATATGAGATGTTTAAATAGAATTCAAGCTCCTCAATGTTATGACACACTCCGCAAGGATTTGATTGAGCATGTATGGGGCCGAAAAGGTGAACGTTGATGATGTTGGTTAAGCATTTATGTAATAATTTTAAGGGTAAATTACACAGTAGCCCCTCAGGTTTTGAGGTTTATTGCAATCTTATACAACATCTTTAAAACATTTCACTTTCATTCCTCAAGTACTATTTTATTTCAATTTCATACAACCGTTACATTTTCCATCCGTAGATCTGTTAAATGCTGACGTGGCTGCCACATATATGCCACGTGGCTGCTAAATGTCTGCCACGTGGCAAATAAAATAATTTTAAAATTTTTTTTTTAAACCGGAACTTTCTCAACCAAAAAAAAAATATTGAAACTCACATCTGCAACCAGCGATCAGAAGGGGAGGAAAAAAAGGAGAAGAAGAAGGAGGAAAAGAAAAAAAATAAATTTGTCCCCCCCAGCGACCAGAAGAAGAAGAAGAAGAAGAACCCCCCTCCCGTCCCCCCCCCGCGCCCAGCGACCCTCTCCCCACCCCGACCCAGCTCCTTTCCTCCCCTCCCGTCCCCCCCCCCGCGCCCAGCGACCCTCCCTCCACCCCGACCCAGCTCCCTTCCTCCCTCTTCTTCTTCTTCTTCTTACAGATCCGGGTTTCTTTTTTTTTATTTTCTTCCTCCTACGACCCTCCTCCCCGTCCCCCCGCCCCCCCACCCCAACCCAGCTCCCTTCCTCCCTCTTGTTCTTGCAGATCTGGGTTTCTATTTTTTTTTTTCTTCCTCCGACGACCCTCCTCCCGTCCCCCCCCCCGGCGCCCAACGACCCTCCTCCCGTCCCCCCCCCGGCGCCCAACGACCCTCCCCCCACCTTGATCTTTTCTTCCTCTTCTTCTTCTTCTTCTTCCTCTTCCTCTTCCTCTTCTTCCTCTTCTTCTTCTTGCAGTAGGTTTCTATTTTTTTTTCTTTTTCTTTCTTCCTCCCTCCTCTTCTTCTTCTTGCAAATGTGGGTTTCAATTTTTTTTTATTTTTTTTTAGAAAATTCAGGTTTTTTAAAAAAATTAAAAAATTATTTTATTTGCCACGTGGCAAACATTTGGCAGCCACGTGGCATATATGTGGCAGCCACGTCAGCATTTAACAGATCCATGGATGGAAAATGTAACGGTTGTATGAAATTGAAATAAAATAGTACTTGAGGTATGAAAGTGAAATGTTTTAAAAATGTTGTATAAGATTGCAATAGACCTCAAACCTGAGGGGCTACTATGTAATTTACTCTAATTTTAAGTGTACTATGTTGTTATTTTCATCGACACCTTCATAGACACCTTCATCTCCGACATTTGTTTGTGTAGCTTCACGTTGAAATAATATTCCCCATTGTTGGTCCGCATTGGTTCCCCACCTTGAACAATCCTTGAGGACGTCCCAAGCATGTTGCAACTTAAAAACTTGATTTTTTTGTGTTATTCTTGTCTTGTAAATTTCCATTGCTTTGTCACCCTATGCAAAAAATACATAAAAATAATTAGTTGCAACATAATATTATGTACATGACAAATAAAATATTAAGAACAAAACTCATAATTTTTGTGGTGATCCTTCCACTAGCCATGCCAACCACGTCTCTCTCCAAGCTTCCCTTCCATAAAGTGCATGCTTTGTTGATAATCTTCCACCGATCATAAACACCACCACCATCCTGCTCGCCGCCATTGCAGTTTTCTTGAAACTTTACAATGATTCTATCCCACAAAACCTTCTTATTTTGATTTGTGCCAACTACATCATCTTCGCTAACAAAAACCCATGTCAAGCATAGAGCAATATCTTCCTCATAGGTCCAATTACGACCTCTAATATGCTCTCTTGCCATGTTGAACAATTTAGAAATGGAAAGAAATGGTAGAAAGATAAATTGGAAAAATTGTAAGAGAAAATTGAGTTTTGTGTGGATGTTTGAACAAATATATAGGTATTTATAGAGTTTTTTGGTGAATTTGAGTTAAATAATTTTTTTTTAAATTATTTTAGCCGTTGGATTTAAATTTGGATCGTTATATCTTTTTTTTTACTGTTAGATTTGATTATATTTGATCTCAGCCGTTAGATTCAATGTATTTTAAAATAACATATTTAAAAAAATCAAATTTGAATCTGGACCGTTGGATCAACCAACGGTCCGTGAAAACTAGCCATCAGATTGAAAATGTAGCCGTTGGACTGCATTGGGTGGCCGACAAACCGCTGACAGCGGGGCCCACCCCTGTCGGGAACGAATTGCGGGTACTCCGCGTGGGGCGCATTGGAGTGTGAATGGGTCGAGACTGGCCCAATGGCCAGCGAGTCCAATCGCACTGGGGGGGGAAAGGAATTCTGGGGGGTATTTGGCCCAGCTTTAACATTTAACATTTAACCCAATATTTTAGCATGTGTTGGAGATGGTTTGGGAAGACTTAGCATTTAGCGCACCATTGGAGGTGGTTTAAAGGATTTTTTTTTCGACCCGAAAAAAAGGAAAAAAAGGTAGATTTGGATTTGGATCCTTTGTAAATTTTAGACAGATGTAAAATAGTTGCCTGCCTGTGTCGAAACTAAACGGGTCCGTCTTCGGGTACAAAAGGAAAGAAAAAAATCTCACATTTGTGCTCTCTGCTCTCTCTCTCTCTCTTGCTCGCCATTGTAGACTCCTTCACAAGGCACCCAGAAATTCCATTTCCAAAGCCACCAAACGAATTGGGACCGTGAAGCATCGTTGGACTGCAATCGGAGATCGAATCGGCGGCAGCGGCTTACGGCAACCTGGGTCGCGAACCGCCGCGGTTCGGGGTTGGAAGGTAAATCGACCAACCATGCAACTCGGAAAAACCTATGATTTTGATTCTGTGTCTGACATTTGAACCTTTTACCTGGGTTTTAGTAATGATTACATTTTTTTTTTTGTTGGGTTTAAGAATCTGAGGTTATGGTTTATTGGTGATTGATGAATCATAGGAGTTTTCGAAGCGATGGAGGGTTTAAGGCAACTGGAGGCTTTGTGTGAGAGGCTGTACAATTCACAGGACTCAGTCGAAAGGGCTCACGCCGAAAACACTCTCAAATGCTTTTCGGTGAACATCGAATACATTTCGCAGTGCCAGTACATTCTCGACAATGCCATGACTCCCTACGCGTTGATGCTGGCTAGTTCTAGCTTGTTGAAGCAAGTCACTGAGCAAAAACTTGCTCTGCAGCTTCGTCTCGACATCTGTAAGAATCTCCCTTTACTTATATATGTTTAATTGGTTTGCTTTGTTGCTTGCATCTTGTTGGAAATGAACAATGTGGGAAATTTGTTGTAGGGAATTACCTTATTAACTATTTGGCTACTCGAGGACGAGAGTTGCAGCCGTTTGTGACTGCCTCTTTAATCCAACTCTTATGTCGACTCACCAAGTTTGGGTGGTTTGATGATGATCGATTCCGGGATGTGGTGAAAGAGTCAATGAACTTCTTGAATCAGGTTATATGACTTTCTGTTAATATTTGTGATGTCTTTGATCTTGAACTAAATTTTATGATACCGCGGCATTTCTGTTGCGTTATGAGCGGTATTCCCAAGAAAGGTTATGAGTAAGTAACGATGACTGTGAACAAACTGGCCACTGAATAAATGTACTGTAAGGAAACGCCATGAACGAGAAACCAGACAACAAAATCATATTATGTTGAAACTAAGCTAAGCAAAATCTCAATCGCCAACATCCTTCCAATTCTCATAGATAAGGAACAACTGTACATCCTAAAACTCAGAAGAAACCGATGACCATAAAAGAGGTCTAAAATGAAACTTTATCTCACAAAATCCCCAAAATCTCACCACCATAAAATGCATGATGTGGAAATTGCCTAGAGCATACCAGCTTTCCTAAATAGGACTGACATGGGAATACGCCCTCTGGCTCAAAATTCCAGCTCATTCCTTCTGTCTAGAGGTTGTAAATCAGGTGTAAGTGTAGATACAAAAACTAACTTTGCTGGGTAATCTCAGCAACTTGCATTACTTCAGCTTCAGCTTCTTTGGGATTTCAGGAAATTCCTTACTTTCCCCTTTCTTTCATTTTTTTTTTTTATTTTTTTTTCTGATTAGAAGCAGTTCTTATCTAAATTATGTGGTAGTTGTTGGATTGTTAAAGTTATTACATTGGCTATTTTGTTTGTAGTGGACAGCTTTCTCGTAATTGCTTGGGCTTAATAAAATTTTATTTTCTGTAAAAATCAAAACTCTGTATGTATAGGACATTTAGATTACTATACTGTATTTGTTTCCAGTCATATCGTTGATTGAGAATATAACTGGTTTATAGAAAGCTGCATCGATCTACAAAATCACCTTATTTGTATCCATGATTGCATTGTTTTTAACACATTGTGGCCACATGATCCCTGATCTATCATTCTGGAACTTAGGAGTTAAATATTAATTGGTTATCTTCTTGTACATGTATATCTCTTACTATTTAGCTCTATTCAAGGCCTTGTTTTTGGGTAACTATCTAAAATTTTTATTGTCCGTTGCTTATTTTTACCTAACTCAATTTTTGGGATGCTGCATGCACTTTTTTTTAACATACAACAAGAGTCAGACTAGTATTCTTCATAAGCCCTATATTGCACATAGCCAACTTTTGTCTTCCAGTCTGTCGAACTATTTTTTGAAGTATCACATCAACTGTATTGCCATGTAGAGTGCCAGCTCAACCTTACGAATGTGCTCATTTATTAAGTTACATTTTCAGTTTTCTAATGTTGCTCGATATCTATCTTACCATCTTGAAGTTCATGTGCTCCATTTGCATTGTAATATTGCTCTCTTAAAACTGTAGAGGGAAGAGTATAGATAACTGAGTAAATTTAACTGCTACTACTGAGTGATTCAAGTGGTTGTGTTGCTTTTTTCTTTTTTTTTTAATTTTTTTATATGTTCTCTGTCATTATATCTTTCAGACAAGTGTAACTCATAAACAATTTGTTTACCAGGCAACATCTGATCACTATGCCATTGGTTTGAAGATATTGAACCAGCTCGTGTCTGAGATGAGTCAGGTTAGATTGTAATTTGTGCCCCTTTATATCATCATTAATATGAGAGATTACTTTTTGGTTACAGAAGATTTCCGCTCCATTTCCATTATTTCTCGTCTTCCTGCAACTTGTGTTTGAGTGAGTTGAACCACATATCATCCTGAAGTGTCTTCGGGGCATCATTACATGGATAGATGATAGTGTACGGTGTGGATATTTCTAATTTATTTTCTTGTTCAAGAACACTGATAGAAGCTAGTTAAAGCACTCAAAGTTTGTCCTTGGTCGAACATCCATAGGCATGTTGTTTTTTAGTTAATTTCACTATTATTTTGGGGTTATATTTAACTTTCAAATTTTTATAAGAATTAAACTTAATTTTGTTTGTTTCCTTGAAATGGCCTTTCCTTCTAAAATGTGTGATGTAAAACAATAGGAAGGGATAGAGAAATAGAAGAGATCCAGACTCACTCCAGCCTTTGGCATTACACCAAAGGTGTATTGGACTCACTCCAATAGAGAATTAGAAAAATTCTGGCATCACACCGAAGGTGCCTTGGAATCACTCCAAGGTTGTGCCTCACACAAGCTGAGAAATTTTCTTTTTGACTAACAATCTGATTTCAAAGCTCACAAAGTAGCCCCTTTATAGGCTTAATTGGTACGTGAATCTGGAAAGGTCCACATTAATATGCTTAGGAATTCTAAAGACTAATTTATGACGCCTAATACATTAAAACTGTAACATAGAGAGACTTAGACAATTACCTTGTAGACTACATTGCATTATTGAAGTTTTAACTTGGCTATTAACATCAATGTGCTTGTTTATTTATTATTTGATTAACATTTGATTATTTGATTAACACCTTGGGTTGCCCTCAACACATCATCGGAGGTCAGCCTAATGCGTCTTCCCCTCAATACACATCATTGGAAGTTGCAGTTCTTTTTCAGGGACCAGTCTCTTTCAAATATTCCAAATATCTTTGACTTCATTTGTTTTTGTTTTGATGGTTAACGTATTTAGTTATTGGCCTGTTTTGCATTACTTTAAATGCCCTATTTTTTTGATTTTGTTTTGGACTTGGTTCTGAAAAGTTCCTTTTGATTGCACAGTAAAATTCTGAGTTGGCTTTTAAGCTTGTAATTTAAATCCTTCTTGCTTTTTGGGTAATTAAAAACTGAAGGTTCTGTCGAATTTAGGTATGTTCTATTATCCTCGTTTCTTTTGGGATTGTTAACCATTCGAAGGTCTGTCAATTAGTCTCGTATGCAGTGAATAAGTATTTAACTGGTAATCTTACAGATTCCGTCGGGGTTTCTTCCGCTACTTCAAGTCTTCTTTGATTACTCTAATTAATTGAAAATAGAAGCAAAGAAAACTGTCGCTTGTGGGATAATTTATTGCTGATGCTACATGTGTATTGTGAGTCGGATCCTTGTCATAATGGCTAATTTATTGCTGGTGCGAGATATTTTTTTTATTAGTTCTCGATTACTGCAATCACATACAGTCATGCATGTGCAAGCGTACAGCTGTGGAAGTTCTGTCCTTTGATATCTAAAATGTATCTGTATCTGTCTTTGTTTGTTGGAGTAAAAAGTTTCTTTTCCTACCATTTGAAATTTTATGTTGTTATTGTTCATGTATTTTCACTGTTTAACATCTTAATCAAGTTTTTACTATTGTTCTTTATAGGCACTGGAGTGCTTGGTGCGACTGGCTTCTGTTAGACGTTCTTTGTTTACAAGTGATCCTGCCCGTTCAAACTATCTGTCCCATTTAATCACAGGAACCAAAGAAATCCTACAAACTGGGCAAGGTGTTGTTGGCTTGGCCTTTTTTTTTTTTTTTTTTCTGTTGATTGTCATGTATGTTACTAAATTGTGCTGAATGTGAAATAATTTGCTTGTGTGCTGGAATGCGTGCTTTCCTGCATTTGTGTATTTTTGGTAGTTATTAACTTCCTAGATATTTTTTAAAGAACTTTTTAAATATGATTGTTTTCCCTTTGTGCTTTTTTTACTCACTCTTGCATGAACAACTATGGACAGATTTGTACCCGTCTATGCTGCACAGACACGGGTATGGGTGCCCACTATGATACATCAATTAAATAATATATAATATGTCATATTACCACACGAAAAAAATAAGTTCATCATAAGTTCATACTTCATAACATAAAATAAATCACAAAGGAGAAAGATTCATCATAAACCATATAGAAGAGGAGAGAATTGGCTTTAAAATGAACTTTTGAAAATTACACTTTGGGCTTGCCTTGTTCTAAATTCTCAAAAACATCCCCAAAAGTTACAAAAACTGAATAACCCCTTGCCGTATCTTGACTGTGTCCTATGAGTATCGTTGCCGTTTCTCATAGTCTACAAAGTAGGAAAAGTGGACAATACTCTATTTTGCATATCCGCTATGTGTCAGACTATATCGCGGGGGCATCAGTAGAAACTCACCCTGGCCCAAATTTCAAGTATCGGTGCAACAAAGATACTTTGTAGTTGTCATTTATTGGTTGGTCCTAGGATTCGTATATATAATATACTTAAGGTGGATATAATCTGAATTTTAGACACTTGTCAGTGACTGCTAATACTTAATCACCAACCCTAAATTTATGATTTATTATTGTGTGTTTTCTTTAATCTGTTGGGTTTTCATAATGATTTGTTTGGACTGGAAATCAGGTCTTGCTGATCATGATAATTACCATGAATATTGTCGTCTTCTTGGACGATTCCGAATGAATTATCAGGTAATCTTTCTTCCTTTTGGTAATTTGACATCAATCTTTTTCTCTAGTAAGAAATACCCTGGAGTCATTTTTGGTATCTTGGGTAACTCATTCAAAGCGAGCTTAATGAATGTTGCATGCTTGTAAATTACTCTCTAAATATACCTACATTTTTCGTTTTGATTTATATTTATATGAAATTGATTTGTACCTTGAAAAGGTGGAACTTACGCTTTACGCTTGTAGTTTTGATTTTGACGTGAGATTTTACGTAGATGGTTTGTAATTTCTTTGTGGTGATTATGAAATTTATTTTCTGGTATGTAATCTTTCTTTGAGTTGATCTAGTTTACTGCTTATGCTTATTGAACTTCTAAATTTGTCGCAGTTGTCTGAGCTTGTGACTGTGGAAGGCTATAGTGACTGGATACGTTTAGTAGCAGAATTCACTTTAAAGTCTTTGCATTCCTGGAAGGTTGAATGTCTTTCACCACTTTTTTCCAAGCATTAGGAAAGAATATTGCATACTAAGCCGTTGAATGAAAACACTTCCACGATAAGTCAGTCTCACCCTTTCCTTTGGGTTGGCCACTGATCTTCCATCATATTTTATATCATGCAATTTCCTAAGTCTAATTTTTGTAGATTTTTGGGTTTTGCTACATCCCATGTGAGTCTTGATCGGGCTTGCAATCCCTTACCTTCTGTTTACATTAATCTTCAGTTGCTTATCTGCATCTAGTCGTTTATTTTCAGTTGTAGTTACTCTTATCTTATAGTTTCCAGTTGTCACTCCCACTGTTTCTCTAACACACCGACTCTCTCTCTCTCTCTCTCTCTCTCTCTCTCTCTAGTTGTCCTAATGACATTTACTGCCATTATACATGAATATCACTATCTATGGTACCTTATAGTGCCTGGTAGCTGGAACTAATTATCCGGGTTGAGAAATTGCAACTTGCATTACTGAAACTTTGTCTTCTTTTCAGTGGGCCAGCAGCAGTGTATACTACCTTTTAGGACTATGGTCTAGATTGGTGACATCTGTACCATACTTGAAGGGTGATGCACCCAGCATGCTCGATGAATTTGTTCCTAAGATTACTGAAGGTTTCATCACATCAAGATTTAACTCCGTGCAGGTAAAAACCAAAACTTTTTCTGGGCCAGTACTGCAATTTTATGAAAGTTCTCTATATCTTCTCACTATTTTACAGGATGGATTGCTTGATGATCTTTCTGAGAACCCTTTAGACAACGTTGAACTTCTTCAAGATCAGTTGGATTGTTTTACACAAGTCTGTAGATTCCAGGTTTACCTCTACAAATGTTTTGTGCTTCTCGTTTTCAGTCTGAAGAAGTTATGGTTTTGCAATTCGTCAAATAAACAATTTTCTATTTGATAAAAAAGCATTTAAAATACATATCTTGACTTAGACACGTGGAACTGATCTGAATTTGTCAAAGTTGCCTCTGTGACCTTCTCTCTTTGGTTGCAGTATGAAAGCAGTAGCTTGTATATAATAAACATAGTGGAGCCTCTTTTGCAAGTCTACACGGTATGGGCATTTATAGTGAAGGATGCCTCTTGGAAATTGAAAAGAAAAATTTCTGGACTTCATGTCTTTAATCAATTCTTCTGACTTGAATAGGAAAGAGCTCGAGTTCAGACCAGTGATAACAGTGACCTCTCTGTTATTGAAGCGAAACTTGCTTGGATTGTTCATATAGTTGCTGCAGTTCTCAAGATAAAACAAAGTACTGGGTGCAGGTAAGGAAAACTAAACAACTTTATTGACCGAAAAATCCTGCTTTTACTCCTCTTCATTCATCTTGCTTTTCCCTTCATTGCTACCATGGAAGATTTTTTATGTTTTATATTTTTCCTTTGCAGTGCCGAGTCACAAGAAGTACTTGATGCAGAACTTTCAGCTCGCATCTTGCAGTTAATAAATGTCACTGACAGTGGGCTACACAGCCAGGTACAGCAGGAGCAATTACATCTTTCTGAATATTAGATATAGTAATCAAATATTTACCTTCTAAATGTATATTTTAATATCTTTTTCTGCCTAAGATGGTACTGTTTTTATCATGGTTTGATATAAATGAAAGGGCGCACTTTAAAACTCTGCTGCTTTGGGCTTCAAGCACTTTGGTTAATATATTCAGCCAAATTACTCGGTGTTAAGAGTGATAGTCAACTTTAAAGATTGCCTATTTATTTATTTTTTTCTTCATTGGGTGGTGCAATCAAAATTAACGAAAACTGTTCAACCCTGGCATTGGCAGAGGTATGGTGAAACAAGCAAGCAAAGACTTGATCGTGCAATTCTTACCTTTTTTCAACATTTTCGGAAGTCTTATGTGGGTGACCAGGCCATGCATTCTTCGAGGGTAAGTTTTTCCTAGCATTCTTTAAAGTTATGCTAGCATTCTTCTTGAGGCTTCTCCATTTGTTGCAGCAGTTATATGCTCGCCTTTCTGAGCTTCTGGGACTTCATGATCATCTTTTGATGTTAAATGTCATTGTTGGCAAGATTGCTACAAACCTGAAATGTTATACGGAGGTGAAATCTTTTTCATGCTTTACTCACGTTAAGTACATTTGGATATTATTTTGCATTTTAATTCTTGCCTATTTTCAGAATGAGGAGGTCATTGGTCACACCCTGAGCTTGTTCTTGGAGCTGGCGTCTGGGTTAGTTCTTTTCCTTCTTGTATCTTGGAGCTGGCGTCTGGGTTAGTCTTTTCCTTCTGTATATGGTTTGGAAAATTGGAGTGCTTGTTGGTTTAAGAGAGCCTATTTTCCTTTTATCATATTTTGCTTATTGTAAGGCTAATTACTTTGCAGATACATGAGTGGCAAGCTACTCTTGAAGTTGGATACTGTCAAATTTATACTTGCCAATCATACTGTAAATCCAAATCTGAAATATCTATCTTTTGCATTTACACTTTTGATTTGAATATCTTGAACAGAATCCTGTATTTTGTGTGAAAAGGTCTCGTTTTGAATTTCTCTTTTCAGAGGGAGCATTTCCCTTTTCTGGAAGAGTATAGGTGTTCTCGCAGCAGAACAACTTTCTATTACATAATTGGCTGGTTAATATTCATGGAAGACAGCCCTGTCAAATTTAAATCTTCCATGGATCCACTTTTGCAAGTACTCTCTCTCTCTCTCTCTCTCTCTCTCTCTCTCTCTCTCTCTCTCTCTCTCTCTCTCTGTGTGCACACATACAAAGACAAACATACAATAAAAAAATGTTTCATATGTGCATGCTGCAGAATCTGCATAGATGTTCCTGTGTGTTCTTTAAAATGCTTAACTACACACACTAGATACTGTCAAGTTTGGTATTGTATGGATTCATTTTAGTTACTCTTGTACTATATGTGGTACTTCAGGTTTTCGCCAATCTGGAATCAACTCCTGATTCAATGTTTCGTACTGATGCTGTAAAGTATGGACTAATTGGGTTGATGAGAGACCTTAGAGGAATTGCCATGGCCACAAATAGGTTAGTACTTTTTCATTTTCTGTATCGAATTTATAAGGCTTAACAATTTCTTATTCTTATGCTCTTCTTTAATATCTTCAGTCGCAGAACTTATGGCTTTCTGTTTGATTGGTTGTATCCTGCACACATGCCCCTTCTTTTGAAAGGAATCTTGCACTGGTCCGATACACCAGAGGTAAAGGACAATGTTAACTGCTTCCTTTGTCAAAAAATTCAACAGAGTTCTGCATTCGGTGGTTAAGCAATTATCTAAAATTTCATACTTTGAAATTGAACTTTTAGTACTAGTTGAAGATTTCTACATTTTCAGAAAGCTTTTAAAATAAATGAATGTCTTTTGAATCATAAGTCTCTGCTTCTTGTTTGCATTATAGTTTTTAGCTAAGAGATCAGGTAAGGTTAGATAATATTTTATTATTTTGAAGCATATTAAAATACAACGGAAACAGGAAGTAGATCTCTCTCGGCTACATTTTATTCCTTCTTATTTCTTGCAAAGTTAATTTGTGTTATCTTCTCTCAATATTTTCCCAATATATGCTGCAGGTGACCACCCCTTTGTTGAAATTCATGGCTGAGTTTGCATTCAACAAAGCCCAACGCTTGACTTTTGATTCATCTTCTCCTAATGGAATACTTCTTTTTCGAGAAGTCAGTAAATTGATTGTTGCGTATGGGTCAAGGATTTTGTCTCTTCCAAATGTTGCGGATATATATGGCTTCAAATACAAGGGAATTTGGATTTCTTTAACTATTCTTACAAGAGGTGAGTCCACTAACCTCTTGTTTCTTGTAACAGTAATCACTTTGTTGAATCATTAATTGCATGATTATTCACTAGGTATACTTGTATCTTTATTCAGTTCTGAATGGTAAACTACTTTTTGAAAATGTTTTATCAGCTTTGTATGACAATTATCACTCTGTTTATATTGCACTTCTTGCATGTATATTCTTGAACATCTGACATATTGCTGTGGGTTTTTTCATTATTTCACTTTGGTTGGAAAACAAAACTCATCTGAGCTGCTCTCAAATGGTGTAATTTGTAGTCTGCAGATAGTTAGAATCATATTTCTGGGTGCAGGATAAGCAGTAAAAACAGCCTAGATCTGATGAAGGAAGGTCTGGCAAGAGCATGAATAAATCATAATTTATTAGTTGGCTAGTGGACTGTTATCTTTTTTTGGTAATCCTTAAATTCTTTACAAACTTGGTGTCGCAAACTTGTCATTCTCAAGTTGAGAGTCTTGTGACTAATGTGGGTACGCAATGAAGGTTGTTTATGGTTCGTTGGTTTAGAACAGTAGTCATTGTGACTAAATAATATGATGCTTATGCTTAAAAAAAAGGTTAATCTTTTGGCTCTTGAAAGTATTAATGGAATCATGTAAAGGTTTTAGCAATTGGATTGAATTTAGTGCAAAGTTTAGCGGCTGTTTGGTATCCTTCTTGGATCCAATTTTTTGTTTTTGAAAATAATGAAGTAGTGAGTACTAAGTAATTTAGCTTCATCTTGCAAACCAAAAATTAGATACAAGAAGGTACCAAACAGCCCTTTAAAAATGCTGAAACATGTATCATTGTTTAAAATAATTAGAGGAAACCCATCTATTTGCTTAGTTCAACAACCAAGCTCAAAGTGAATGGATTGGAATTCCTATAAAGAAGCTGATGATTATATTGTGTTTTTCAATTGCCATTTTTTGTCTGTGTTTTAGGAAAGCACCTCAAGTTGTTTTTTCTTTTCCTTTTACTGTTGTTCTTTCCAAATTGAAAACAGCAAACAAAGGAATAAAGTTCTTTTGCAAGGTTGTACTTTCAATTCATTTCTTGACTCTACCACAACATTGTTGGTACTAGTTTTTAACTAGAAATCCTGTAGTGGCTCTTCCCCTGCTTTCCTTGTTGAATTAAAAAAAGGAAATAGCTCCTTGTACAAATGTTATGTTATGAGCTGATTTTAGGATTTTTTCAAATGATAGCTCTTGCTGGAAACTATGTCAACTTTGGGGTGTTTGAGCTATATGGTGATAGAGCGCTTGCTGATGCACTTGATATTGCACTGAAGATGACATTATCAATTCCTTTGGCTGATGTATTGGCATTCCGCAAGGTACATTAGCTTATGTTTGTTAGTCTTCTTTGCATCTATTAGTTTTGAGTGCCTGGTAGGAGTTGTTTGATATGATTTCGACGGCGAAATGAAGGTATGAAACAAAAACTTGAAATTGAACAACTTAAAATGGGTTTTTTTTCCCTGGTAGTTTTCATTTTTGTGCACTATTCCTACCAGTGCTTTCAGAGGCTAAAAACTGTTTTTCTTCTCAATTTCTAAGAAACAATGGGAAATGAGAAAACAGTATGGCTCTGAACACTAAATATGCAATTTATGAAGTCTGAAATTTATGCTATCCTATTCTTTAGTTTGTCCTTGCTAAAATCCTATCATGCTGATGCATTTTGATGCTTTAACTCTTACTCTGCTTACTCGATTCAGATAAATTCAGATATAAGGCTCCTTAATTTTATCTTTCGTTAAGTTATTCCTCTTGCCTAAAATTTGGAAGGTGGTCTTTATTGGAATTTCTTACTTTTGCAGCTGACAAAGGCCTATTTTGCATTCTTGGAGGTTTTATTCAACAGCCATATAGTGTATATATTGAATCTGGATACCAGTACTTTTATGCATATAGTTGGGTCCCTTGAGTCTGGGATTAAAGGTTTCGATGCAGGCATTGCATCACAGGTACGTGTTATGCCTCTATTCTCTTTTTTTTGGTCAAAGTTATGCCTCTATTCTATGGACGAAATAACTCTTCATCGTCAATTGCATGTCTCAAATTTAAGGCTGCACTTTGAAAGAATAACTTATTACTGAACTGTTTTTTTGCATTTGTTTTCCTCTGTTTAGCTCAACTAGAAGGTCAGATAGAATAATGTGTACTAGCAAAAATAAAACTAACCTGAAATGTAGAAATCATCTTGTGCTATCAAGGGCACAAGTCGTGTTTTGGAATAAGCTTAAACCTTCCCTTGCCAGAATTTGTACTCCCTCAAGTCCAATTCTCACCCTACCCTCATCAGTCTTTGGAAACTTTCAGGAGGTTACCAGTCAGGCAGTGGAAAATTCCAAAATGATGAACAGTTGGCCACTGCTAAGTGCGAAGTGTTAACTTCCAAACATTGAACGCTGTAGAAGTTTTTTAGAAGTCTAATGTTAAAAATTTTGGAAAAAGTTATTGCACTGGAGAAGTTTTTGGTGACATGATTCTGTGTTACCAACTGGCCAGTTTTGTCTGCATCTGCCACATTAATTTTACAATTTATTTCATTATTCAATTTCAAACTTTACCTTTTTCTCCAGTGTGCATCAGCTGTTGAAACTTTGGCTGCTTTCTACTTCAACAACATAACCATGGGTGAGGCACCCACATCACCTACTGCGGTCAATCTTGCTCGTCACATTTCAGACTGCCCCAACTTGTTTCCAGAAGTAAGGATGCTTATGCTCTATTACTCTTTTGTTATCTGTCTTAGAATCTTTGTTAAGATGCCCATTTCTTGTGGTTCAGTAATTGTAATTTTGTTAAATATTAACATAGTACTATCTTTGTAATATTTTTTTTTTTACTGTTTTTCCATCGTAAGTCAGACTCAGCTCTAAACACTGTCAAGATCTATCTTCTTGGACGTTTACATATTGAAAATGCATGGATTTTTGTTGACCCAAAAATAATGACACAACTCAGTAGTATTTTTTTTTTTCAGTCAGCTATATAAGGTGACACTCCAGAACCTTGTCAGTGCTTATCAAGTAATCAATTAAACTGAAACGATGGCAAATTTGATATACTCAGTTGTTTAATGGCATTGAACTCCTATAGCCACATAATAATTTGCGGAAATTCATAAGCCCAACCGGATTGTAAAGATGTGTTTGCATTGTTTTAGTTCAACTAGTCCCATGCCTGGACTTGTAAGTTGTAAGTGAGAGGTCTTAGGTTCAAATCAGTGGATGGCGAGTTCGATACCAATTTTTCCCCCACCACGTAGTGTAAATATATTGTTGTATAAAAAAGTTTTTGTGTGCCTAACCTTTGGGAGGATTAGGTCGAGATTAATATATGCTCTTGGGGACTTCGGTTTGGGTTTTGCTTGAAGATATGTAAAGCTATTGGGAAAAAATGTTTATATGTCAAATTTATACATGAAATCGGACTCCATGCATGCGATGTGAATTAAATTTGCTTACGCTTTTTGTGGTTATTCTCCATAGTTACTAAATTACTAAATTCTTTTGGTTATGTGACTGATCTGAGTCATTTTATATGTAAAGGTACTGAAGACGCTGTTTGAGATTGTTTTATTCGAGGAAAGTAACAACCAGTGGAATTTTAGCAGACCAATGCTGAGCTTGATACTTATTAATGAGCAGGTAGTATTTTTATTGGAGTGCATATGTATTGTAACTTGTTCAAGTCTTTTGTTTTTATCTTTTGGTCAGATTGTTCAAGTCTTTGTCTGCAACATCGTTTTTTAAATGCCTCTTTTTAATCAGTTCCACCTTCACATAATTGCACCAATAAATTTTCTGTTCAGTATGTACGTGCATGTGTTTGTGTTACTGCTTCCTGAAGCCATTTTTAGCTTTTAGAAAATATTTGGAAACAATGCAGCTCCGTCTCTCTTTTTCTCTCTAACTGTAAATCTTGGTTCCATATCTTATGGTGTTTGTCTTTTATAATGTAAGACATTAGAATATTGTAAGTTTGGGTCCTGTCTTAACAGTACTTATACTGTCCTTCACTCTTCTGTGTCTCAGTAGAGAAGTTGCATCTTTGTGTCTTTTGTTCAACTCATTGTGGTGGGCCAACTTGTTTTAGCACAGTTTAGCTGACAATACATATTATTTAGGTTGTATTTTATGCGGCCTTTTATTTTTAATGAGAGAGAGAGAGAGAGAGAAATAAGTGAGGTGGAGAGAGAGTAGATAGAAATAAAACGAAAACCTTACCGAACCGTTGGATTTCTTTTCTACAAATTTCAAATTTGCATTTGCTGGAAGTGGTTCTGTATTTCTCTTATCCTTTTTCACTTCTGATGGCTGTATTTGACTGAAAGATGGTGTCTGACTTCGCAGATATTCTCCGATTTGAAAGCTCATATCTTAGCTTCACAGGTTAGTTGTGCCTTCCACTCTTGATTGTTTGAGTTATATAATGGAATAATAAAAGACTAAGCTAATATGATGGGTGAAACCTCAACTTCTGAGGTTTAGCAACGCTGAATTTACTGTTTAGCTGTTTTAAATTGTTATTGTCACGAGTACATGTACATGACACTTTTTGGTATTGGCCTGCAGCAAGCGGATCAACATCAACGGCTTTCCCAGTGTTTTGACAAGCTTATGGTGGATGTTACTAGAAGCTTGGATACAAAGAACAGGGACAAGTTTGCCCAAAACTTGACGGTATTCAGGCGTGATTTCCGGTTGAAGTAACTATGAATTGTACGTCCAGAAGATTTTAGACGAATAGTTTGCCGCATACTTCTAACTGAAAAAAGAATGGAAACTCTACTGGGAAAAAAAGGAGCTAAGTTTGAAGTTCTTGGGCTGGTGTAACCGGAAACTGCAGCAGACTTTCTTTGCGGTGGCAGTATCGTTATTGCAGTACGTGACGAGGAACGATACGGACGTTTGCCTTACTGGTGGTTTGTAGAAGATAGCGGTGGGGTTTGACATGTAGAAAATGGCCAGTTCTAATATTAGTAAACCAATTCTTTTAGAAAAAAGGGTGTATATCTTGTCAAGTTTTATGTTTGGGGATGTATGGTCAGTTGTAAGTTGATCTTCTGTACATTAACGTTTACATATTCTTTGTATTTGTTGATAATAGGGGAAAGAAAAATAGGTTTAAAGGATTGTTCTTGACTCTTGGATCTCCATTTTCGTTCTCAGCATTTTCCCGTTCCGCATGGGGTGAATAGATATTTGAATTTGTCAATGTTGTCGATTAACTTGTTGTTTGATAATGGGACACTCGATATGTCATTAATTTGTCTTTCATATTATTGATATTATGTTGATATTGTGAAGAAAATGTAAACAGTCAATGGATGAATGTGACCAACTGTGCTAATGTGAGACACTTGTTAAAATCTAGGGGTTAGAAAGTGGTACTTTTGTGATAATTCAAGAGCATTTTGATAATTAAGTTTTTTTTTAAATTTATTTTTATGGGGAAAAAAAAGAATCTTACATTATCCAAACATAATGAGGAGATTTAACATTACTAGGGAAATGACAGAAATTCAAATGATGGAATTTTATTGGTTAGAATTTGAATTTTTTTCGTTTGGTTAACCTAAGAACAATAGAATTTGAATGCGGAATATGTTATTTTTAAGTTCTCACCCTTGGAAATTTGGAAATTACAAATATTTACATGGAATTTAAACTTGGGAAATGAAAGTCCCAAATTGCAAGTTTTTTTTTCATGCGGAAATTCTAAATTTCTATGTTTGTTAATCTAAACAAGGGAATTAATGCATATCATTTATAATTTCTGACTTTTGTCAAAATTTCAAATTTACTTCCCTCATCCAAACATAGTGTTATGTTTGGACAAAGGATTTGCATTTACTAAGCAATTAATTATAAATATAATCAGAATAGACAAAAAATTTAGAAGGAGGGATTAGAAATGCACTTGATAATTGCAAGGATGTATGAAATAGATTTACAAATGATTCATTTCAAGTAGTTATTTGCAAATTCTTCTTTCTGTACTCTATCTACTAATTTCAAATCTCTCTAACTTTTGTAGTCTATTTTTAATTATACATGACCTGTCACTCAGTACTAGGATCTGGTGATATTTCTCTTCACGTGTAAATGAGAAGTCTTAGATTCAAATCTCGTGGATAACGAATTCGATACCAAATTAGGTTGCTCATTAGATGACTTAGTTGAACTCCTCCTCCCTTAGTGTAAATATATGGTTGTATTAAAAAGAAAAAAACTTGGATAACTTTCAGAACAGCACCAAGGGGTTAGTCTATTAGAAATCGGGTGGGAGGTTTGGAAGTCCAATTTGACTTCGAACTCCCATGAATGCATTCTTTGGGCTTCCGGCTCTCTTTTGGTATACTCTTTGACCCAAAGGTCAAAGGTACGCTACCTCTTCATCGAGTATTGCACCTGCATGGGGAGGAGGATTAGTCGCTATCAATTTGTGGTGCAGTACCTCTTATATTGAAAAGAATAAATTTCCTGACAGGAAATGAAAAAAAGAACCGGGCAAAATTCTTCAAGATGTCCCATTTAGCATAAGCAAAACTACTATGGGAAAGTATTTTGCATCCATAATATTATTTTTTTGGAAAGCCCTTGTTAATCCTAAGGAATTAATTCTACAGATTCAAAATAAATTAGCTGGTTGGAAAGCGAATAATGTGAGAGATGATAATAGTTTTGAAAATTATTCATCCATTCATTCAATGTACTTTTGCAAAACAAGTGATAATAATGTTTCTAGTATCATAAATTGGTTAAGTAATTTATTATTCAGTACTACGATCTAGTGATATTTTTCTTCACTGGTAAGTATGAAGTTTTAGGTTCGATTCTCATCAAAAGTAAATTTGAACCACATTATTGCTAGTCTATCGTAAGGCTTATCCCACTTCCCCACTTCATTAGTGTAGATAATATCATTTGTTCAAAAAAAAATTAGTTAAACAATCTAGAGGGTTTTGTTATAAGAAATTGGCTCTGTGAATGGTCATCCAATTGACCATCCTTATACCTTATAGCTTCAAATAAGCTCTTGCCCTCGGAGTCAGAGATGCTCTTCTTTTTCCTGAACAAAGAAATTTCAAACACATTGTATTGGTGGGGGACTCCAAGATTGTCGTTGATTTGTATAGCCAATTTCCGTACATTAATAGTCGGGATCGGGTGCTTCCAAGTGAGACACGCCTTTGCTTATGAATTTGACTGCCTGGGAACCGTTTGTGGCCAGAGTTTCTTCCTTTTTTACTTCCAAGGAACGTCATACAGGCTCTTCAAGGGAAGGAGAATCTATTTTTTTATAAATGAAGATTAGTTGTGAGATTTCCTTTATATCGAAATTCAACGATTTAAACCGTCTATTTTGTAAGTCTCGATTCATAGACCATTCTTACAAAAATTCAATTCAATCTGAAATAATTTGTTTATTTAATTATCACAATGAAATTTTAATGTTTCTTTGAGAACAAAATGTTGATCAATTTCTTTAAACTCAATTAGATGCTTCAAATATTTCCGATTTGGCTAAATATTTTGCAATGATGATTTATGAAGTGCAATTTAAAAAATAAACAGTTCGGATAATTAATATTCAATATAGTGTGGACCGCACAACTAATCTCCATTTTATATATAAAAAAAAAATCACTTCTCATAAAGGCTTTCTATATATATATATATATATATATATATATATCTCATACATAACTATATATATAATTTGTGACAACCTGTCCCGAATGTATATATTATTTTATCCTCAATAGCGTGGAAATTCCTTTTATACCCTTGGGCGTTGAGTTATATTCTGTGGTGGTGTGGTTTAAGCTTAGATTTTGGAACAATTTAATTTATTCCTAAGTTTGTGGAACTTAAGTTTTAGTTATTTTTGGTTTGGTTGGCCAAACTTGGACCACACACACACACACCATCCTCTCCCGTTAACCCTCTCTCTCTCACCCCTCTCGGATTTTCTTCCATTTTCGTACAAGTCGTACGGTCAAACACCAACCACCCTCTAAACGCCTCAAATCGAACTTATTGAGGTTGGTTCTGTGTTCCTTGCCAGCTCCAGAGTTCACTCATGTACCTAGTTCGACGTGAAGACTTTGTTTTCTTGAGAACCAGATAACCCAGTTTTGGAGCATTGTTCATTCGATTGTGATTGTGGACCTTTAAGTGAATTTTAAGGTCCTAGTAAGTCTTAAATCATCTTCATGAAGCTCGGGGAAGAATTTTGAAGTGATTTGGATGTCGGGAAAGCCCAGTTCGCAAAGCTGCAGAGGTGGCCGGACTATCGTGGGTTTTTTCAGCGAGTTTCCAGTGGATTTAAGACTTGAGAGTGGTAAGGTTTTGTTCCTCTCATCACAAGCTTCATTTTGGTTTAAGTTTCATGAATTTTGGTTGAGAATCGAAGAAGATATGAAGTTTTAAAGATTTTTCCAGCTTTCGGCGATTGCAGCGGCATCGGCGCCAGACTCCGGCGAATCGAGGTTGAAGGAGGAGAATATTCCGTCAACTTTGATAGAATATTTTAACGCCGTCAGGTAATTATAACGGTATATGCTGATTTTTAACGGAATATTCCCTAACACCGTTAGGGAATATTCCGTTTGAAGTGCCAGGCACGTGCCTGCGCGTGGTTCACGCGTCTAGCCGTGCCTTGGCCAGTGCGTGGGTGGTTGGAATTTTTTTCTAAAAATATGAGGATGTTTGTGGTGTTAAGTAGATCACGTTGGTATATTCAATCACCCCATTTGAGCAATGTATGAGAAGTTATTAGCTAGTTTTGGTTATATGCTATAATTAACTTTTATTTAGTTATTTCGCATATAGGTGAGACCTACCCTGAGGACGAGCGCCATCAATCGAGGCTCGGGGGCTACGACCCTTTGACATATCAATGAGTGGGCCTTTGGTTTTCCGTATATACCTATATACTTGAGATTTTTCCCAGAAAATGAAATTGAATGATGATACGTTTTGAAATGCCATGCAAAGTATCTGCCTATTTTATTTATGCATTAGTAGTTGCATATATTTATGATTGGTGTTGCGGACGCATAGGTAAGTGCCAGGTAAGTTCATAAATTAAAGATATGAGATTTCTTCAGTTATGCGAGATATGATGTGATGCATTGAGAGCTCATAAACCTGCACCCCGGTGTTAGTGCTCCCGCCCAGAGTTAAGGCACAATCCTTCACGTGATGTTCACTTCTTGCACCATATGCTCACCTGGATCCAAGTTAGGTGCACAGGCTTATCTTACAGACCATTATAGGTGGTTCCGACTCGTAGGTGACGAGCGATTATTCGCATAGTCTTCACGTGATTGTAGCACTAGAGCATATTTATTTTACACCTAGGCTTGTCGTACAGACCACTTTAGGTGGTTCCGACTCGTGTGCATGATTTGATATTATTGTGATTGCTTATGAGCTATAGACTCAGCCGTGCAGGTCACATTAGGTGAATCTGGCTAATATGATATCTGGCATTGATATATTTTAACTGGATTACTTATGGCATTTCATTTAGATACTTTGGCATGGTATATTTCTATGGATTTTCATCTTGAGCAAGATTTTTGATATAGCATATGTTATACTTTCTGGGAAATTATACAGGTTTTACGGCGAGGGGTTATAACTTTTGAGAAATGAAATGATTTTTGAAAAGCTTTGTTTTTGCCCACTCACACTTTTTGTTTTGCGCGTTTTAGATAGAAGTGCTTTGGTGGCTCACGGGGATTTCGACGGTGGTTTTGACAGAACATCATAAATGTAGGATCACCCTTGGGTGTTGTATAAATTGTACTTGTCCTGCCTGACTGCACTTAGGCTATTTATACTCTGGTTGTGTATTTTCACACTTAATCTCGCACTAGCACTTTATCTTAGCTAGTACTACTAGTAGCTTGGTTTTTATCTAGTACTACTAGTAGCTTGGTTTTTATTTACTCGTATTTCTCTATATAAATTTTGTTTCCGCACTGTGCACATGGTTACATCACTCTTATGTGATGGCCATCATGCCTTGATTTTGGTCAGGATGTGACATAATTTTCCTTTTTTGTTCTCATAGAAAATCATCACATCATCTTCTAGAAGAAAATGAACGACGCAAATCATGCATCTTTTATTTTCCCTGAAAAATAATCTTGATTATTATTTTTTATTTCAACTTGACTGAAAATTTTGTTTTAAATAAAGGATAAGCTTATTTCAAATTCTAAACAGGATTAGGAGGTAATCGGCATGCAGAGTAATCATGATCGCC